TATGCTTCACAGAGTAACGACCATTTGCATATTACATCTTTATTATATAGGATTATATAGGATAGCCAAGATTTGAAAGCAGCCTAAGTGGCCATCAGTAGATGAGTGGATAAAAAAGCTACAGTACATTTACACAATGGAATACTATTTGGCCATAAAAAAAAGAAGGAAATCTTACCCTTTGTGACAGCATGGATGAATTTGAAGAGTACTATGCTAAATGAAATAAACCAGCCAGAAAAAGACAAGTACCATATGATTTCACTTATATGTGGAATCTAAAGAACAAAATAAATGAACAAACAAAACAAAAACAGTTCATAGATACAGAAAACAAACTGAGGGTTGCCAGAAGAGAGGGGCTTGGGAAGCTGGATGAAAAAGGTGGAGGGATTAAGAAGTACTAGGACAAATCAGTAGTTACAAAACAGCCATAGTTATGTAAAATACAGCATAGGGAATATAGTCAATAATATTATGATAACTATATATGGTGACAGGTAGGTTTTAGAATTATTGAGGAGATCTTTGTAAATTATATAAATGTCTAATCACTATACTAAAATCTAAAACTAATTAAAATAATACTAAATGTCAACATAATTGAAAAATAAAATAAGAAAGCTTGAGTTTCAACAAAATGCAAACCCAGTCACATGACTCTGAAGGGAAATTTATGCCGAGTTTCCCAAACACTATTTTATAATTGAGGTAAAATTGGTATATCATACATAAGCTTCAGGTGTATAACATTGTAAGTGAAGATCTGCATACACTACAAACTGATCACCACCAAAAGAACAGTACCATCCCTCACCATACAACAACCCCCTTCACCCATTTCACCCAAATATAGTCTTGACCAGTTCCTATTTCACCTCCTTCACCAAAAAAATCTCTGTTCTCTTTCAGGAGTAACCAGACGGCTACAACATGAGGACACAAGCTTTATTTTAGTTAAAATTAGATTTGAAGAGAAGCAAAAGTTTGTCTTTTTAATTATTTTAACACTTTAATAACTCCCAAAGTTCCAGGAAGAGCTGAAATCATCCCCACCACAGCAGAAAACCCAGACCCTGGGAAGATATCAGTGTCAAAATAAAACAAGGCTCAAATCTGGGCCTTAGCAACTATTTGCTGCATGGCCTTGGGCAAGGTTTGATCATCTCTGAGCCTCTAATTTTCTTCTCTAATGTGAGGGTAATGATGTAAACCTCATAACATTGTTTGAGGATTAAATGAAGCA